CCGTGCGGCCCCGCAGGCACCGTGCGGCGGGCCACCGTCGGCACTGCCCCCGAGCATTCTTCCCCTAGGACTGGAGAACCTGCAAGCTGACTGTCCCCATCACAAGACGATGCCGTGGGGCAGTTGTGTTTCAATATTTAAAGTGCTGTCTTAAATTAAATGTGCAATAGAAGGTGATGTTGCCATCCTGCCATCTTTTTCCATGTCCTAGATGCGTGAACGCTTGTTCACACCAGAGGCGTCGAGGTTTCATTCTCCGTTTTTCACTAAAACACACAGAGGTGCAGCTGACTTGAATGCTAGTTACCCTTATTTGTATATGGTATTTATTTTTTCTTTTTTACAAACCATTCTGTCATTGACTAACAGGCCAAAGATTCTCCAGTTTATCCAGGTTGGATTGAGCAATCAGAATTCAAACATGGGAGGTCATCGGTTTGACCTAAAGTATTTACTGCAAAAAAGAAAGTAATTCTTTATAAGTGTTCCAGAGAGTTGTTATAATTTACAGATAAATCTAAGTTATTAAAACATCTCCCTTTGTGATAACCCTTATCCCTTACCCTCTCCCTCCAAACCCAAAAGGGTTGTTTAAGAAATAGGATTAACTGTTAGATGTTTAATTCTTAACAGACACCAGATATTTTATTTTGGATTTTAGAGCCCTGTGTGATAATTCTGAATTTCGTGCTATAACTTTCAGGAACTCTTGGAAATAATGGGTTTGTTTCTTGACCTTTCGTCACTGCTGTATATATAGGACTTGAAAGAAATGGTGAGTGCCTATGGTGGATCCAATCCGATCCAGTGGAAGACTACTGAATACCTGATACCAGAAGTCATATGAGAACATCATGGCTTTCAAGCTTTAAATATTATTGGACTTGCTTAATGTGAGTCAGTGTTCTATATTTTGCTGTGTTTCCTCCCCATCTACATTCCCAAATTACTTTAGGACTATTCTAAAAAGAACTTTAAATTGTTTTTCAATTGTAAAAATGGAGGAGGGGAGGAAGACATTATTCTATACATTCAATAGAGATTGAATAGGTATGAAAGCCAGATTTTTAAAAATTACTGTGCTTTAAAATGTTAAGTTATATGGGGAGCAACAGCAAACAGGTGCTAATTTGTTTGGATGTAATGTAAGCCACGTCTCATTCTTTTAAAAACAAAATACAGCTATGTGCCATTGTTGCTTTGGTGTTTTAATTTTTTTTTCTTTTTGGAAATCTTATACCCTTAAGATACTAAGAACATTATTCTAGTTGTACTTTGGAATTTTCATTCACAAAAATTGTTTTAGAAGTGATATTTTGTTTACAAAAATTTCTTGAGAACAGGTGGTTATAACAGTGTTTAAAATCTCAGTTTCTTGCTTAGGTAATATGGGACCTAATGCACTGGCTTTGTAGGTTGCTAAGAAGCTGATATTTCGAACATGTTTATAGACCTCTGTTATAAAGACGAATGTCCTTGAAAAAGGGTGGGGAGGTGGGTGAAAGGGTGGTTCAACAACAAAGAAACAAGAATGTAGTGGTGTTTAAAGTTGTGAAAAGTGTCATCTGAGTCTAGTCACTGGTCTGTTTGCATTTGATACATTTTTATACTAACTAGCATTGTAAAATTTATTTCATGATTAGAAAATACCTGTGGATATTTGTATAAAAGTGTGAAATAAATTTTTTTATGAAAGTGTTCATTACTTAGTAACACAGCATTGTATATGTGAAACAAACTCTAAAATTATAAGTAACCTGAATTGCTTTTCTTTTTATTTCATTAAGCCAAACTAAAGTTTTTGATGTTTTTATTTATCCTTAGTGTCCCATATACTCTCAGATCAGCAAAAGGTATTAGTGTCTGCCCCCCACGTCCCAGCCAGTGCAATATAAAAAAGACTGAAGGTTGTCCCCTTTGACTACTGTTCAGTTGATGGTCAAAAGAAAATGATCTTAAACATGGTTTATTCAAAATATCTACAAGTTGGGAGATGCCTGTTTGCATGGATTCATCTGCTTCAAAGGCTTCTGCCTGTGAAGGATAGGTTATTATTTAGCAGTGAGACCATGGCATGAAAAACAAAAGTTCTTATGACTAAGTTGCTTTCTTCTTAGAACACATTTTGGATGTGAGAGCAGTCCAGCTATGACATGTGTCAGTATATTGACCACAAAGGACTGATTTAACAGAGTTGACTGGCCAGAATTTTTTTTTTCTTTTACGAAATGATTTTATTTAGATTGAAGTGATTTTGTGAGACTTCTCTAGCTGGGTTATCACAATTTAATAAATAAAAATAAAGCATGTACATAGTACCCAGATAATATAGCTTGCCCTACTTATCCTGAATACATTTCCAATCTGAAATGTATTATCTGTCCAGTATAACTAGGTAATAGATTTCCACTATACTTGGTATTATATATTAAGTTTTAGCCTTCTTAATTCTTTGAAGATCAGACAGGTGTTACTGCCTAAAGAAATGTATGATTTGTACTTTTTAATGAAGGCTGTGAACCATTTTTAGCCACAGTCCCATGGATAGGCCCAGATTAAATCTCTGTGGTAATGTAATATAATCACCATAACCATTAGGATGTCAGTAGCTGCGGTTTGGCTAGGGCTGTGGCATAAATGACCTGGGCTGGAGGTCATAGCAGTGCTTTATATGACTCCTGTGATTCCACCTCTTTCTCTCCCTCTCTAAAATTACACAGGAATGCCCAGCAGTGATAATGGTGTTATTAGTATGGGGCTATCCTTGGATCCATTTCCAAACATCAACACTTTGTTGGTTGCAGAGCACTTGCTACAATCTCATGTGAGTTGTGCACAGTCATGGCTTATGTTGTGTCCTTGTGGTTGAGAATATTCTAGAATGTAGGGTAGCTGTAGGTGGGGAATGTTTTAAATTGTCCAGACCTGGGAAGTAGCATAAACTGAGCATTCTACCCTAAATGGAAACATCTTAATGAGAAACTGATCTCTAGTACGCTAACCCACAAGAAGACAATGTGGGAAGACAGATGGGTTGATAGGGTGTTTTGTTTGAAAGGAGGAAAAGGGTAGAATGCGGTAGGTGGCTGGGTTCCACATAAGTACATCCTCAGGGCTGAGAAAACTGAATGTGGAACTTATTTGATTAACTTGGGCAACATAAAGTAAATGATTAAAGGCAGCTCCTTGAGACCAAAGGATAGGGGTCCACCACTCTAGTCCGACCACTGAGGAGAAGACAAGGTTCAAAATGAAGAAAGTGAACTTGAGAAGGATCTCAAAGGAGGCTACTGCAAAGAAGCTAGTGGGCGTCTGTTCTAGGAGTTACTGATTATGGTCAAATGGCAAGTATCTTCTTTCCTGCACCTCAAAAAACAGGTTTTGCTGAAGCAGAAAGGCATCCTGTCCGAGTGATAGGATGTGGGAGTGCTGTGTACTAGTGGCCGGAGCCAGGTCTGCAGAGGTGTTGCCAACAGACCCATTTAGGAGGAAAGTTATAAAGGGAATTCATGGTTAAATCCTCTGACTAAGGATAAGTGAACTGTAAAACACAAATCCGGGTAAGAAAACTGGGCCATCACAGTGCAGGCCTGGACAGGCGCCCACAAAGGGCAGAGCTAACCAGGTAATGGTTGATCACACTGGCGTGAAGGCGGCGAGTGCAATTTTTGCAGCAGTCAGCACAGTTCAGATGCCTCAGTCTCCTCTTTGCCATTGCCCCGGAGCCATTCCGCAGTCAGGCTGCTGTGCCGGGTCACTGAAATGGGCAGGCAGGCCTGCTAGGGGTCGGCTAACGTTTCTCATACACAGTTTATTCTTCTAGACTCTAGTACACCCACAGAAAACCTCAAATTACAGGGACAGAGTGTGCGGCTTTCATTTTCTCGCGGCCCAGCAGATAAATATTTAATTCACTGAACAACCAGTAGCTACGAGTTTTCTGTTAAGATTGTGTCACTGTGAGGAGATAGACATGGGCTTAGTCACACACGCCTCCCCCCCACGCATATGTCCCAAGAATGTTCTAAGACTCTGGGGATACACATGCAAATAAGACACTGGCTCTGACCTTCTAGAGGAAGCTTATATTTAAAACAACAATTGAAACTGACCCGCAGGTGAATTCAGTTTATGTAAGTAGAGAATTCAAAATCTTGCACTATGATGTCAATTGGTGACGTACAAGGTCAGGACCTGATCTTATGTGGGTGGAAGTTGTCTTTGGAACCTACACCATTCCCAGAAAAATGGAAGTAGTCAATTCTGAACCTGGGCTGC